ACCTGGTCATCTTAGAGAACAGCTAACATGCCAAACAGCTATGTTAGTAACAGATGCTTTATGCTCAGGGGTAGAAGAATGGGGCCCCATTGTACCTTCCAGTCCCATGGTCTTTCGGTTTTGTTCCAAGATGTCTAATATGGGCCAAATGGTCTTGCCAGATTAACCTCTGGGGCCACAAAGTGTTTCTCCTGATTGGGCCTTCCTATCTGAGATGGTGGGGTGTCATCCAGGATCCCTGGTTCATCATGCTGGACAGTGCAACTGGACAGTGTGTCTGATTCCATGAAAATCCTGTGGCAAGCTTACCAAGTCATCACTATGTTCTAAGAAGTTCCCAAAGGTCAGAAGGATTGGCTAACCCATTGAGGCTCTGTTAGACCTTCCTATGTCACTGCTGGTTCTTCCCTGCAGAAGGCAGACTGGCACAGCCCAGAAAGATGCGATTTAGGGGGACTTTGAGGCCTATTGAGCTTTGTAAAAAATGGGAAGCCTTATGCCAGTCACTAATTGAACTGCTAAATCTCAATCCTCACCTGTAAAATGATGGTAATAATAATACTCCCCTTTCACAGGGATGGAGAGGCTCATTTGCAAGGCATTTTAGACACAGTCAAGTGCCACCTGTTATTCAGTCTTTCCTTGTTTCTGCGGCAACTCATGACAGCACCTGGGTCCTTCTTTGTCATTCATTCTTTGTCATTCCTGCCAAAGCCCTTACTTCTGAGCTCATGGCCAACATCACCTACACAACAAGCCAAATATTGCTACCCAAGTTCTCTTCTATCACCACTAGCAACCACACAACTTGAGTTCACGGTTACCAGCTGTTTTCTTTGTGTATGTTTTATTTTCCTTCTGACAGTGACCACACTCTACAGGAATTTCTCTTCATGTGTGTGACAAAAGGGTTTTCTGATTTTGACAGCCACAAAATTAAAACCGTCTGAGAGATTTCCTATGTTTTGTGCTCTACACTTTAACTGAAGTACACAATGCATATGTTGACCTTGTAATAGATGGATCTCCATTCTGTTTTTAAAAACCCTAAATCTGTGTTTAAGGCAGTTCCAATGGCACTTCATTTGTTCAACTGAAAAACACTTAGGAGTGTTGGAGCAGATGCTCTAGGGTGCCTGCTCACAACTCCTGGGGCATTCCTGGTTGAAAACATGAGCAACCTTCTTTCCCGGTTCTTTTTCTGGGGCAGGCACTGCTAATGCCAGGGCATTTCATGCCTTCAGGAGCTGCCTGCAGACAAGCACGGATCAGTCAGTGAACTGCTGGCGCCCTTGCTCTCAGAAAGTTCCATGTGGGCTCCCCAGTCCCTTAGTGGGATTACATTTTGGTTGCTCACAGTGGCAACTTGTTCTGGATTACTGTTCGGCAGTTTGTTTCGTCCTTCCTTTCCCACAACCCTATTGGTGATTCCTGGGGTCACCTTCCTCATCAACTGCTTTCCTTCCAATATTTTTCATGTTGGTTGTCCCTCTTCCTGGGGGAGATCCAACCCAAAGCGAGTCCTTTGTGTTTTTGTCTTAGTGCTTTTTTTAATTTTTAAAGATCTATTTGTCTTGTGGTCAGTGCAATGGCACAGCAAGCTAATCCTTCGCCCTGGGACGCTGGCATCCCATATGGGCACCAGTTTGTGTCCTGGCTGCTCCATTTTCAATCCAGCTCTCTGTTTATGACCTAGGAAAGCAGTGGAAGTTGACAGAAGTCCTTGGGACTTGAATGCACATGGGAGACCTGGAAGAAGTTCCTGGTTTCTGGCTTTGGATTGGCTCAGCTCTGGTCATCATTGCCACTTGGGAAGTGAACCAACTGGTAGAAGACCTTTCCGCTGTATCTCTCCTTCTCTCCCTGTAAAATCTGCCTTTCAAATAAGTGAAAAATCTTAAAAAGATGTATTGGTTGGCAGAGAGACAGAGGGGGAGAGAGAAAGAAAGAGATGAGAGATCTTTGGTCTTCTGGTTCACTGCTCAGATAGCTACAATGGCTGGGGCTGGGCCAGGCTGAAGACATGACCCAGAACTCCATCCAGGTCTCCCACATGGGTGGCAAGGGCCCAAGCACTTGGGTCATCTTTGGCTGCTTTCCTAGGCACATTAGCAGGAAGCTGTATCAGAAGGGGAGTAGCCGAGACACCATCTGCTGCTCAAGAGGGAAGCCAGCATCACAGGCAGTGGTTTAATCTGATATGCTGCAACATTGGCCCCTGTCCAAGGGGAGTTCTTACCAGAATGAAGCCACTGGGTTTAGGTGTTCATAATGACACATCAGACAATGCACCTGACCTCAGTGAGTCCCCAGTTAAGACAGGAAGATGAGATGGGTAGAAATGTTCAGATAGGGCCCGGTGGTGTGGCCTAGCAGCTAAAGTCCTCGCCTTGAATGCCCCGGGATCCCATATGGGCGCCGGTTCTAATCCCGGCAGCCCCACTTCCCATCCAGCTCCCTGATTGTGGCCTGGGAAAGCAGTCGAGGATGGCCCAAAGCTTTGGGACCCTGCACCCGCGTGGGAGACCCGGAAGAGGCTCCTGGCTTCGGATCGGCATAGCATTGGCCGTTGCACTCACTTGGGGAGTGAATCATCAGACAGAAGATCTTCCTCTCTGTCTCTCCTCTCTGTATATCTGACTTTCCAATAAATAAATAAAATCTTAAAAAAAAATGTCCAGATAAACACAGAATTTCATTTTAACATTTTAAAATGCTGTTGGCTTACATGTGCTTCCTCTCTTTCTCTCTTACACACACAGACACACACATTTGCCATTCTGGGCTAGGTGAATGCCATCTCTTAGTGGTATGGTGGAAGTAGCCTACTTATGAGAGCTGCTTGGTATATTTTTAGGACTTTTTCTGGCAATTCATTAAACACAGCTACTATCCAACACTACATTGTATAAACTTGAGATGAAGTAGATCATATTAAAGATGAAGGTAACAAGTATTCAAGGCCCTCCTTCCCTAGGCCTTTTATGGCATTTCACTATTATGTGTGCTCCTGAGACCACTGACATCATCTACAGTGTCTGCGGTAGAGACTGCACATGTTGGTCTGTGGTTTCAATTGCCTTCCCGCCTTTGCCTCTGGTGACTCCACGGCTTGAAACCAGCGATTCTGATAGGAGGGCTGATACAGCAAGAATCAGCAAATGTTTTAAAAGAGCGAGTGCCCCCTCTTCACCCTCACCTTCAAGAGCGCTGGTTAATCCTCATCAGCAGATCAACCTTCTCTTGCCTGGAATCTGGCACCAGCCTCTGGACCCCCACTGCACTGTCCAGGGTGTTGTGTACACTAGGCAGGAAGCAGATCAGACTGTCCCAACCCCCTGAAGAAGGGTCCCCATCAGCATCCCATAGCCTCACAGACCTGGTACCTTCCTGCCCACAGATCCCATGCCTGTTCCCTCCCTTTGTCCTTGTGCCCCACACAATGCTGCTGCTCCCTGAACCTGTTGCTAAGTTACCTGCTGTCCCAGAATTTTTGCACCTCTTCCTCGTCTGGCTGAGACAAATCAGCTGCTTCTGCCCAATCATCACCTCCCCAGAGAGGCTTTCTCTGACCATCTTCTTCACATCCCCTGCGCATCCTATTTCCAAGCTTCTATTCTTCCCTGTCTCTTGAGTCTGTTCCCTGCCCTCTTCAAACCACTTGATCACATCTTGGCTGTATCTGACGATCAGTTTGTCTACTGTCTCTTTCCACTAGAATGGGAGCAAGCTCCACATATGAAGACTGTTGTCCAGTCCCTGGGCCAGTGACTGCCCGAGGGGGTTGGTGCTCAGCCAGAGGTTTGTGCTGGATGAATGGGTTTCACCTTCTCTCCAACCCCTCATTCACCCTTCCACAGCCTGGTGGCCACCTTATAGCCCACCCTCTCCCTCCTGGGTGCTGCTCCAAGGTCCCTGTTATAATCTCTGCTGCCTCGTTCTAACACATGGCCTGGTTTTTATCTGGCTGGATTTCTGGACCACACGTAATACTGCTTCCCATTCCCTATAGCACAACCTGTCTTCCTCCCCCTTTCCCACCTTTTCTTTGTGGACTTGGCAGTATGCTGCACTGTCGGTGTCATATCTCTAGCCCTGGCTGCATTTTCTCTCCTCTTGGATCTGGACCCAACTGGAGGACAGGCTTTGGCCAATGGAATGAGGTAGAAGCAAAACCATTCTGAACTGCCACCAAGAGACTTGTGTATTTCTTCTTGTTCTATTTGATTTCAACCATCACTGCTGGAAGGGTGTTCACTCTCTGCAGCTCACTGATTGCTGGAACAGCCAAGCTAATGCCAGGAGCTAGGAACTTCTTCTGGGTCATCAACATAGATGCAGGGACCCAAGCATTTGGTTAGTCTTTTTTCTGTTTTCCCAGATGTACTAGCAGGGAGTTGGATCAGAAGTGGAACAGCTGGGACATAAACTAGCACCCAAATGGGATGCTGGCACTGTAGGCACTGGCTTAATCTGCTATTCTACCAAGTAGCCATGGGGACTCTCAATTTTAAGTAAAAATGTAGAAAAAAAAAAAAGAACACATCTATACAGAACATGTGCAGACTTTTTTTCTTGTCAGTTTCCCTCAACATTGTAACAATGGTTTGCCTAGCCTTCATATTGTTTTAGGTATTGTAAGTCATCTAATTTAAATATATGAAAGGATGTGGGTAGGCTATGTGTAAATACCATGCCATTTCATAGAAGGCACTTGAACATATGTGGACTTGGGTGTTTGGCTGAGGGTGGATCTAGACTCAAGTCCCCATGGATCCTGAAGGGCAGGTATTGGAACCAAGTGCCCCTCTGCAAACAGTGCAACAAAGGCATGGACAGGCTCTGGGACAGCTGGTTCTTAACAGGATCTGAGTCACTCTAGGCCACCTACCCAGCTTGGTGGGGTACCTCTGACACACCACAAACACCAATGAATGAATGATGGATGAATTTCCCCGCTAAAACCTAGAGCTCAGAGGGACTGTCCTGGGGGCGTATACCTGTGTCCACAGAAGGTCATGGCTTGTTCAAGGTGAAGGAGGACTAGCTGGTGTCAACTCTCATCCAGACACTGGGATTCTTAACTTTTGCATCAAGCCAGGGCTCACTGCTGGAAAATGCTGGAGCTCAGTGCTAATCCAGGTTCATTCTTGTTGAGTAATCAATACTGTGGTAAGGAACTGCTGAAATAATAACAACAACAACAACAACAACAAAACCAGGATTGAAAGGTTGAAGTTCAACCAATTTTTCTAACAAGTACAATCCCAATGACAAATGGGAGGTGTCAAAGTGAGAAGTGACATTGACTAAGAAATAGATATTAAGCATGAGATTTTGCAGCCACTGGGACCGGGGGATGGCGGGCACCTCATGTAACCAGGAAGCAGCCCTTCTAAATTCAAGAAACGGGTTTGGGCTCAAGTTCAGAGGGTGAGTCTTAAGGGATCTCATATGATCCAAAACCAAGCCTAACACACACACACACACACACACACACACCACACACACGGAAGGCTAAGATACACTCAGAGATCTTTCCAACACTGGGGCACTCCTCAAATGCCACGACAGCCATGGAGCCCAGCACTCCATCCAGGTCTCCCACGTGAGACAGCAGAGATCCAAGCCATCACCCTCATCGGTTGCTTCAACTGGGGCAGTGACCCAGGAACCCCCAAAATAGGAAGTGGGTGGGGTCCTAGGTGGAGTCTCAAGACACCGGGACCAAATGGCCCTCTGACAAAATAAATGATTTTAAAGCTCAGGAGGATTGGCTAATAACAGAAAATGCTGTTAGGTGGAAACACCAAGGAGACTCAGGGTTCGGGGGGATCTTCTTAAGCCACAACCTCTCAGCAACCCATCACAAGGAATAAGGCTTCCTAAGATGCACTGTGGGCTGGAGCTCCCACAAGAACCCCCAACAAGACTGGACCCTCCCTAAGGGCGCCATGACGTCCCCCTCCATTCCCGGCTTCCTCCATTCAACTGAAGGAAAGTCCTTCTGGTGCCCACAGGAATCTTGCTAAGGTAAGGACTTACCCCTCCTGGGCTGACCCCTGGAAGAACTTGCGTCCTCACAACCCGGGGGACCCATGGGAGGCGCTGCGTTTTCCCCGGCTGCTCGCGGGGTTGAGGACCGCCTCAGCCCCCGCGGCCTTGCTGGGCCGCCGGGATTCGAACATTCCGCGGCCCTCACAGCCACCGCCGGGCCGCCAAGCCAGCGCCGGCCGGCAGGAGGGCCGCGCGGCCCCGGAGGGGCGGGCCCGGCCGGTGACCTCCGCACGGTGGGCGGGGCGTGCCGGCCTCCGCCCCGCCCTGCCCCCCCCCGCGCACAGCCGAGCGCTGCGCCGCGCGGTCCCGCCCCTCGCCGGCCCCGCCCCCTCACCGTGGCTCCCCGCAGCTCCTCCCCTCTTCCATTGGCCGAGGCGGAGACCCTCCTCCTTTGCCCAATGGCCGTCGCCGCGGCTCGACCTCCCGCGTCCCGATTGGTCCGAGTCCAGCAGAGTGGCGGGGAGAGAGCCAATGGGGAGCGGCGGTTCGATGAATGGCTGGCCCGGGTGGGGAAGGCAGGAGGCGGCGATCCCGGCGGAGGGGGGGGGGAGCCGTTCGCCAGCTCTGAGGCAGAAAGTGCCACGACTCCACACGCGCGCACGCAACCAGCGAGCGGCCGGAGCGGACGGCGGACGGGGCGGACGGCGTCGGGGTCGCGGCGCCTACAGCTGTTGGGGGGCGGCTTCTCGGCGGAGGCTTGGTCGGCTCCTCTCTCTCTCTCTCCTCTCTCTCTCCCCCCTCTCTGTCTCTCCCTCACGAATCCGCGGCGGCGGCGGCTCCTGCGCTCTGGTTCTGCCTCCCGCGTCTCCGGCTGCAGGTAAGAAACTTGGCCCGGCCCTGCAGCGGCGGCGGCGGGCGCGCGGGCCCGGCCGTCGGGGCGCCGGGGCCGGCCGCGAGTGACACGTCTCCTTGGCGGCCCCTCCCCCGGCGGCGCCGGCCCGCTCGGCCGCCCGCTGCCCTCCCCGGCCGCCGCCGCCGGCCCCTCGGGCTCGGACTCCGAGGGTGGCGGAGGAAGGCGTGTGCGAGGACCGCGGCTCGTGCAGGGGCGGCGGCCGAGCGCGCCCCGGCCGGGCGGACCTCACGCCTCAGGCCGTCGTGGGGCGGGGAGTGGCGGCGGGGGTGGGGGGGGGACCTTGGCGATGGCCCCGGCGTGCGACGTGGCGACCCCTCCCTCTCGGCCGGACCGTCGGGCCGGCCCCGCGCGCTCCCCAAGTTGGGCCAAGAAAGTTGGCGGCGGGGCGGGGCGGCGCACAGCTGGCGGAGGAAGGGGTTAAGTTTCGGGAAGCCGCGGGATGACGTTGGCAGGCTGGAGTCCGGGTGGGGGGCGGGCGGAGGCCGGCAGGAGTGTGTGCGTGTGTCTGGGGGGTGAAGGGCGGGATTGAACTGGGGAGAGGGTGTGTGTGTGTGTGTGTGTGTGTGTGTGTCGGGGGGGGGTGAAGGGCCGGGTTGAATTGGGGAGAGGGACCCCCGCGGGCCGAGCTCCCCCTGCCTGCGGTCCGCAGCTGGGGATCGCTTCTAGGATTCGGGTGGGCCCCGACGGGGCGGACGGGGGACGCGGGCACGCCGTGCAGGACCTCGGGGCGGAGGTGGGGAGACCGTCCGGGGCGGGAGGCAACTTCCCGGAGTGCGAGAGGCGGCTCCCTGCTCCCCCTGGCGGCGGGGCCGAGAGCGCCGCTTCCTCCGGCGGGGCCGCACGTTGCCCGGCTCCGGGAGGACTTGGGGGGCAGCCCTGGCCCTATCCGGGCCGCCTCGCCCCGCCCCGTCCGCGGCCACGATGAATGGGCCGGCGGTGCCAGGCCCTGGACGGAAGCGGGCACCTCCGGCTCGGCCGGCCAAGCGCACTGGCACCCGGCCTGGTGGCCGCACCGACCTGCCAGGCTTCTAAGCGGGCTGAGCACAGGGCAAGGCAGGGCGCCTGGGGCCCAAGCGCTTCCAATAGGGCTTCCTGGATTATCAGTCACAACTTGTAGTTCCCTCTTCGTGTCCTAACACCGCTGAGCTTGACCTGGGCCAAGTTGTTTGGCTCAGGGTCCCTGTTTCTCCATGTGCAAACGGGGATCTGCTGTTGGATACCAGCGCCCCGAGTGATCCAGAAGTGAGGGCCTGACTGTGGAAGGGAAAGAGGTAGGAGTGGGGTGGGTGCTGATTCCTCCCACTGCCGGATCCTGCATCCTAGATTTCCTTATCTGTATCCTGGGGCCAGTACCACCCACCTAGAACAGGGTCGGGGAGCTGCCTCAGGGAAGTGCCAGGGGCCTTGTGTAAACAAGAGAACAGTTTGGCAATGCTCTGCAGGTCAGAGGTCAGAAGAGACTGGGAAGCACCAAGGAAACGAAACTCAGGAGCTTCCCACATCACTGTTTCTTGCTCAGAGTGCTCCAACCTTCTGGGAGGCGGGGTATGTGTGCAGCTAGCTGGTGTTTTCTGCACCTGGGGCAGGGAGGACTGGAAGGGCCTCACCTCCCAGCTCAGGAATCCTTGCAGAACTAAATCCAGTGTTTTTGGGTTGGAGCATTCCCCTTCCATTCCTGCCTCCCTCCCTGGCTTTTTTGACTCTTTGCTGTGCCTCTCAGCTTGCCATTCACCTGACACCCTGAGAAGTCCCTGACACACTGCGAACCTGCAGGGTGCTGCTGACCATGTGGTGTCTGGCTCGTGAACCTTGCAGAAGACAGCCCCACTGTGGTCTGCCAAGTGGCTTCCCTTCCAGAAGCAGCTTCCGGTCCAGAGGCCCTGGACATGCCACTTCCCCCTGAGCTGAAACATTGGGAGAACGGTGGGGACTGGTAGGTCAGGAGTTCCGTTACTTGCAGCAGGACAAACCTCACACACAGGCTGCCTGGGCTGGGTGGTCCCGGAGGACACCAGGGTGGGGAGCTACAAAGGGGTGCACTGGGGTCTGGAAGCAGAAAGTTTATGGTGGGTAGAGCAGCAGGCCCTGTGTTGTAACAGAATACTGTCTGACCCTGCTCAGAGACTGAGGGGTTGGAGTTGGTACCCTGGCATGAGAATATTTTCTGTTGATGAGAAAGTTTTAAATACATCCCAAATCAAGTCACATTTGAGCAATTATGCTCGCTGCTGAAACGATCCCTAACTCTACAGGCTGCAATAATTATATAGCAGCAAACTCAGAGTAAGGCTGCATGCCAATGATTCAATTGGAATATTGGCTTATTATGTTGCAGGGATACCTTTTAAAGGTGTCAGAATCAAACCCCCACATCATACTTGGTTCTTTATCATCCCTGGAACCTTAATCAGTACATGACACAGGGTACTTTGAAGGCAGGCAGCGGAGTTTTCTTTGCTGAACTCTTGTTTTGGAATAAATCAGCCTGAGTGGTGAAGGCGGAAGGCCTGCTGTCTTTCAGCACTCCCTAAGCCTACAGTGGTTAATGTCGATTCCATGAAGTATGCAATACCTTAGTAATTGACCAGGTATCTCACAGGATAAAGCTGAGGCCAAGCTGGCTTGTAAGATTTGCCACTTAGAGTTTTGTGCGTTTGATATACATTTAGGCCTTCCAACCATCCGATGCTGTGGCTCAAGGGTGATGAGACTCACCGGTTCAGTGGATAAGATCGTGTAGGCCCAGGAGGTCAGGGCAGTGTCAGGCGGGTGCCTGCTGCCCAGCCGCTGGAGAGGTGCTGCTGACCCTGCTGAGTGTAATCCCACCTCCCTGGGGCGGGGCTTACCGCAGGAAGGAGACCAGAAGACCAAAGTGGAGAATGTCTGTGGCAGGAGGCAGGGGCTGGATAGCCAGAAGGTGCTTTTCATTCCAGGGATGAGCCCTAGCTCTTGTCTGAAGATGGATCACACGAAACTGTTGAAGTTAATTTTTGAAACAGTTACACTTGAATAGCATCAGCAATTCTGTTTCTCAAGCACATGAGCCCCATTGTAAGTACTCAGTAGCCTTACCTCGGTCATTGTGAGTTAGTGAGTTCTTGTGGACAGCCCCTGGCTGCAGGTAGCTGATGTGCTCTGCACAGTGGGATCTCTGTTCCATTTCATCGTGAAGAACCTTTTTTTTTGTGGAGAACTTTTTGATGTTGAACCGTGTGAGGCTGGTGGTTCTGTAAGTAAGAAATAGTCCTCTGGTGGCAGTTCACACCCTTCTATCCTGTGCAGTGTTGCCATTGGAGAACATGGGGAGCAGGGGTGAGGCCTAGAGTGGCTGCATCCCACAGAGATATTTAACTACACCAGAAGCATAAGGACGGCCCAGTGTACCAAACGTGGAAATAAATAGGTGTTAGGTAGAAAGCATATGGCCTGCAAGGAAAGTAAATATTTAATATCCATGGGAGAGAACTGGGCAAGGAAGACCACTTGACCCTACAGAAAATTAACTCAGGCTTCCTAGAAGGCTGTTTTCTTAGGCCAACAGATTCTGAATGAACCTCTTGAAAGAGGCAGCCAGACTCCCAGACATATCTTCTGTTGAAAAATGAAACATATCTGATGTTTTCCCTTTAAATGACCTGTTTCCCAGCCATCCGTCTGTCCAACCAGGGGCAGTCGCTGCAATGCAGAGAGAACATGGTGCAGGTGGTAAGTGACTTCATCAGACACAGAGTTCCTGCCTGGTCCTCACTTTGAGGTCCTGGGGTTTTCAGAATGATTTCCGGGGCTCTTACACTCTGGAAAGGATCCCTTGGAGTTTTGGAGGTCCTGGTTGTGCTGGTGGGCATATTTTAGTGCCATGTGTTAAAAGGCACATTGCTAGAGTCTCACCCAAGAACCTCAGGCCCTGGGTAGCTAGTTAAGCTCCCACTGGCCAGAGAGAAGACCCACTGAGGTTGTGCCAGAAGACACCAGTTATTTTTAGTGGCTAGAATATCATTTGCTGACTCAGAAGTTGGATAGGAACACAATCCTGAATGGAAACCTTGAATTCTGTACTCTAACCCCGGGCTAGGTGTAAGCAGGGTAGGTCAGTGTCTGTTGTCTGGAGCCGGGTTCCAAGCCTGCTCCCTGTGCTTAGGCCTGCCTAAGACGTTATGTCTTTAATACTTGAGCCACCTTTTTAGAAAAATGAAGATCTTTTAAAAATGAAAATGTGGATTTGGAGGCTGTCTTGAGGACAGAATTTAAGGCTGCTACATGGTGGATTTTTTGCTTGGTAGCTAAAAACTGGTTGCCTTTGCTGGGCAGAGCTGTGCCAACACCCCTGGTACC